CAGCTGTCCGGCGCTGGGCATGGAGCGTGTGCGGGGAGCTGGGGCCGTGCTGGCGGTCCTGGTGCTGCTGGGAGCCCCCCCGGCTGCGGGCGAGGAGCTGTCGGGTGAGCGGGGGGTGGGAAAGGGGGGAAAGAGGGGAGAAAAGAGCGGGGTGGGAGCCCCAAAAGTGAGTGGGAGTGGGGTCGGAAGGCCCGGACTAAGTGGGAGGGGGGTAGGAACCCGAAAGTGAGTGCGGAGGGTCTGGGGCTTGTGGGGCCGGTGGGAAAGGGGTGGGAGAGGGGGGCAAGGGGGTGTGGCAGAGCAGGCAGAGGGGTGCCCTGGGGGTCCCTGGGTGTCCCTTGAGCCCTGGAGCGGTTCCCTGCGGCTCTGGGGGGGTCGGATCCGCATTGGGGGGTCCCCAACCCCCCTGTCCATCCCCAGGGGGCTGATGGGGGGGTTCCCCCCCAGCCAAGAGCCGGTGCAGAGGAGGTTGGGAAAGGGGGGTCTGGGGTGGCCCCCTGAGCTCTCACCCTGCTGTGGGGGGCTGAGGGATAATGGGGGGGACGGGGCACCCCCTGACCTGTGTCCTACACACACAGGGGTGTTCCAGCAGATGAGAAAGTACGAGTGTCACTTCATCAACGGCACCGAGCGGGTGAGGCTCGTGGCGAGGTTCATCCGCAACCGCAATCAGTACGTGCACTTCGACAGTTATGTGGGGGTCTTTGTGGGGGACACCCCACGTGGGGAGAAGGTTGCCAGGAAATGGAACAGCGACCAGGAACTTCTGGAGCTCGCAAGGTCTTCAGTGGACAGGTACTGCCGGTACAACTGGAGGTGTTCACCCCATTCAGCATGGAGAGGAGAGGTGAGCGTGGGGCAGAGCGGGTCCCCTCGGCCCCTGCCCCGGGAATGACCCTGGAGCCCCTTAAACCCTCCCTGGGAATAACCTCAGACCACTTGGCCCTTCCTGTGCCCCTCCCTGTGGTCACTTACTTAATCTCCATCCACATCCATTTCTTCCCAGTCTCTCTTATTGTCTCTCCCAGTGCCCCCAATCCATCCGAGTGCATCCCAGTTTCTCCCAGTGCCCCTCAGTCCATCACAGTCCATCCCAGTCTCTCCCAGTGCCCCCCCGCGTCTCCACCCCCCTGGGGCCACTGAGCTCACGCCCTTCAGCCAATCCCAGCGCTTCTCTCTGATGACGCTCCAGTTGCCAGGCAGACCCAAACCAAAGACTTCCCTCACCACCACTCAGCCACCCAGGCCGGAGCGCTTCCTTCCCAGTCCACACCAGTCACTCCCAGTCCCTCTCAGTCCATTCCCAGTCGTTCTCACTTCACTCCCACATCTCCCAACTCTCTCCCCAGTGCCCCCCCAGCCCAGCCCCTTCTCCCCCACTCTATTCCCAGTCCCTCCCACTGCCATCCCA